TATATATATATAATGGCTTTATTAGGTGATAATGCTAGGCTAGCACTCTAAATGATGTACTGTTTATTTGTCAATACTTTGGATTGTGTTAGAACATTTTCACAGGAAAATAAAGAAGAAAGAAAGAAAGAAAGAAAAAAAAAAGGGGGGGGGGAGTGGAACATTTTCTTAGGAAAATAAAGAAGAAAGAAAAAAAAAGGGGAGGGGGGAGGGGGGAGGGGAGTATATCAACTATAATATATCAGTGATAATTGAACCTTTATTGTTGTGTGCTTCAAGTTCCAACCATATAAGAACCCATGAATGCATGTGAGCTGCACATGGATTTAGTTTGTTAATTTTTGCTTCTGTTAGGCATGTTCATAGCCCATCTTCTATTAGGTAATCCATGTCCATGGCACTGCTAGTTCAAGCTGCTTGTTTGCTGCTGCCCATTTGCCTTGATTTCCTGGATGTGCTAACTGCTGGATGTAGGAAAATAGGTCTTTAGTTGGTCCTTATACTTATTTTTGGATGTCCTGTCTTTGGTGGGGTTGCTTGGCTGCTGCTATGGTTGGTTTGGCCTGCTGTTTGGCTGCTGTGGTGTTGCTTTTGGCTGCTGCTTTGGCATCCCTGAAGAGGTGCCAGCAGGACCTGCAAAGAAGCTCATTACAGGAAATAAGTAGCAGCTCCAACCAACAAGCACCCACAGCCTAAGGAGACCTGCAAGAGTCGTAAGTCCAAGCATACAAGATTCAGACAGCATTGCCTATTGTTGCCCACCCACCTCAACGAGTGGTGAGGCCAGTTGAGTTCACTAGAAGAATGGGTGATAATGAAGTAGGAGGAGTCGATTTCTATCAAAAATTTATACCATTTCTAGAAAAGCATTGGTGACATGTATGCTTTCATTCTCTGTCACTCATGTAATTGGTCTTTACTTCATTTCAGTGGGTGTCGATCTCCCAATTAGCAGCTTAAAAAGATCTATGCTCTTTGTTTTTGTTGCTAAGAATCTAGGAGTGTCGTGTCCTATATATATTGACTTTTTTTTTTTAATTTTATATTTTTTATATTTCAATTTCATTGCAGATCTATACATGGCTCTTGATGTAAAGTTTTTACCTTTGAGTGTACAGGGTTCACACCTTTTAAGGTGGATTCTTTTTTGTCAATAAATTTTTTACTTGTCAAGCAAAATTATGAAAAAGGTGTCTGATTGCCTAGTCACTAATGTATGCATTTTAATTTCCTTGAAAGTATGCATTTGGGTTTTGATTCTTCTGAACTTGAACTGTGGTCTCTATCTATACTTCATGATTGTGCGTTAAAGTGTGCTTAAGTAATTTAAAGATCATAACCTAAGAATACATTGAGGTCCCTTGTTAGGTTGTTTGATGTGAACACATTTGTATTACTTGTGTCCCACCAATTTAGAATCTCAAAGTTGACTCTCATTGTCCTGTATTAATATCTCCTTGTGTCCACGTTGCTTTATTTGGAATAGAAAGGTGTCTATATGCATTGTGGTAAACAGTCTAATTGAACTTTTCTTTTCCCAAAACCTCTCCATTTAGATTAAGATTTATTGTTGTTTGTGTAGTAGACTAATACCGAACTAGGATGAGGATAGTTTGTGATAGCCCCATTATCCTCTAAAATCCTGGTAAAGAGGACATGTAGGGAAGAGGAATTTAGAAGATCAGTGTTTATTATTTCTCATCTCCCTTTGGAATTATGAGTAATTCGTTGTTCGACCTAGAAGTAAATGAATATGGACTTGTATTGATGTATTTAAGAAGAGAAAGATGGGAGTCTCAATACTAAAATTCTTGCACTATTTTGCTAGCATGCTTTCATATTAGGAGCATGAAATTGTGACATGTGGACACTTTTGAACTCTGTAAAAGACAAGCACTAGAAGGCCTCTTGTGATTACTGCTGCCCATTTGCCTTGATTTCCTGGATGTGCTAACTGCTGGATGTAGGAAAATAGGTCTTTAGTTGGTCCTTATACTTATTTTTGGATGTCCTGTCTTTGGTGGGGTTGGTTGGCTGCTGCTATGGTTGGTTTGGCCTGCTGTGGTGTTGCTTTTGGCTGCTGCTTTGGCATCCCTGAAGAGGTACCAGCAAGACCTGCAAAGAAGCTCATTACAGGAAATAAGTAGCAGCTCCAACCAACAAGCACCTACAGCCTAAGGAGACCTGCAAGAGTCGTAAGTCCAAGCATACAAGATTTAGACAGCATTGCTTGTTGTTGCCCACCCACCTCAGCAGGCGGTGAGGCCAGTTGAGTTCACTAGAATAATGGGTGGTAATGATGTAGGAGGAGTTGATTTCTATCAAAACCCTTATTTCCGATATCCTTATCCTCTTCCATGGGATGATAATAACCCTTCTTCTGGAGACATCACTGGAGGAAAAGGAGGAGGAAATATCAGAATATTTAGAGCACTGTCAGTCAGTGTAACAAGTCACAGCCTATTTAGGCTTTGCATCTGTCAGCTCTGGAATGTAACTCTCCTATCATCCTATGGTATGGTATTGTGTTTGGTTAAGGGTTTCTAGCTACTTAGCCTCACATGGACTCTTCTAGCTACACCATTGAGAGTCTTATTACCTACTTAGAAAACTATTTGGTGGGTTTAGTACTTATGTTGCTAAAATCACTACCATAAGTATTTATTAATTATCTACCGGGGGGGGACCTAATTAGTAAGTCCTTATGGTATGTTAAGTAGCAATCCTACCAAGGCCATCATCATCCCAATATTCTAAAGGAATGTTATAGAACCTAACCCAGACTGGTACTTTAGTCACCTTATCCTTCGATAATTTCATCATCCGTTTCCATTTTTTCAGAATAATATTGAAGCCCCCAATGTACCAAGGACCTCCCTCCAGAACTTCAAAGCAACACTCAGGGTTATCAAAAATAAAGAAAATAAAACCCTCACCATTAGCTAAAACTTCTTTAAGACCCTTATTCTTCCACATGCTAAATGCACTATTCTTCATGTAGTTGAAGTTAACCCCTTTCCCTAAGAAATAACCCACCAAACAGGAGTCCCACTTTTGAAGGGGATTAGGTCTAGGGGGCAAATCAACACTGATAAAGTTGTGTTTAACAGTAGGAGGGAAGAACCTGAGAGAGACTTGCGATCTTGTAGACGAATTTGTGATTTCAGCCCACGATTTCCCCGAGTGATTTCCAGATCCCCTACCCCCACCACATCCTCTGTTTCCTCTACCTCCTCCAGTATTAGCCCCTCCACGATCTAGATTATGTTAAACTAATATCGTTAAGCTACAGTTACTGAGAAAATTATTTTTCCTAAACGCTGAGCAAGGGTTGTTTGAGTTAAACTTCCCACCTAAGCTAATGAATCATTTAGTGGCCTAAGCTAATTACTTCATAGAACAAAATAGAGAAGGATGGACAAGGACAGAGAAGGTTATCGTGGAACATTCCTCATGAGAGCTAGAAAAGAAAGTTCGAGAAAAGAAAGAGAAATGGGATGAAAATCAAAGGGAATCCAAATTCATCATTTTTGACTTGAGAATTGAACACTTAGATGATTTAGAATACCTTAAATGAGGTCCTTAAGTTAAACTAATATCGTTAAGCTACGATTACTCATGATGTATCTGTATATTGTACACTCTCTTTGTATATCTGCAATTTTCGTCAAGAAACTTTTCTTTTGTTGATTTTTTTTTATTAAAAAAAAGTCAATATATTTATAAAATTTATAAATTTATATAATTTTTATACTATATTATATCGTGTACTGATATAGGGTAGAGTGTGAATCTTTTTTCTTTATTTTTATTTTATTTTATTTATTTGGCTAAAATAATTTATTTGCACCGCTTATGACCCTTAGCTTTGCATCCAAAATCTTTATACTTTGAATTATCTAAAACAGTGAGTAACAGTTCACAGCCCCTTGGCTGCATAAAGGAATTATTCTCTCTTTCAAGGGTTTTCAACTTTTTCTTACAAACCATTCATTGTTATCATCTCCAATCCAACACTTCCCAAACAAAACAGTGGCCCCAGTCCTCTCTCTCATGTGCATTTCTAAGTTTTTAGGGGAGTTTGAGTCTATATGTTTGGGATGATAGATTTTGGCTAAAATAGTCAATAAAAATAAAAAATATTAAAATAATCAATAAGATAAAATATTATATATTACATATTAATTAATTATTTTTTCTCTCACAACTATCAATTTAATGAAAATTGGAATATTACACCCTTAAATTAGCATATGTTGCTTTAACTTCTCTGGACTTTGTATATAGTTGAGTAAAGAGAAAATCAAACAGAGTACTAACTGCAATAACAGGCTAAGTACTAAATTATAGCCTCGGGGCATTCATTGGAATTGTCGCATGTGGCTATCAATTATATTGGCATTGTTCATTTCTTATATGCATAGCTCCTCAAGTACATTATTAAGTTCCTCTGCAAAATTTAATCACATTTTGTTTACCGAGTGAAATGTGAGCAAGAATAGTTATTGTTTCCCAATGTCTTATTTTTTCAATATCCCAATTTAGTTGATAGATTTGTCAATTCTGGTATTCGGGGCATATATATATTTTTCCAAATACGTGTAGTTTAATCATATCATTTTGCATTTGGATATTTGAGTACTTAAATTGACTGCTTTAGAAACTCAATGTGGCATATTGTGGGTTTTCTTTCTGTGCCATGTTATCTGCTTTTTACTCTCAGCTCACTGTTTTATTGGTTAAATTTTCTCTAACTTATGATATTTGTCTTCTTATTGATGGTTATTTTGCTGTGCTTTATGTTTTGGTTGTGAATACTTCTTCTGTTTACGCTAAATTGCTTTGGCTATTTTCTCACTTGATTTATGTGTGGTTGTAATTTATATAACTCAGTATAATCATTGGACTTGAAATTTTTTTTAATTGAAATATATATATATATTTTTCTATATAAAATTTGTCCTATTCACCTAACTTTAATTAACTCGGCATAGTCAGACATGGACAAGAGTTGGATTGCATTAGGTAGCACAGTTGATGGAAGGATAAGTCGGGCATATAATGATGGGGTAATATCATTTCTCCGTTTTGCAATGGCGGTTATCGATCGAGATGGTAAAATTTTGTGCCCTTGTCGAAAGTGTGTGAATGTTGTTCGTCAAAAATTTCAAATTGTTCAAATTCATTTGCTGCAACATGGGATTATTCCAACTTACACTATCTGGCACGTGCATGGGGAACCCCGTGAATCAAACGAGGCTTATCATCATGATATACCCGTTGAGGGCAATGAGGTTTTGGGAGGTATTGATGCCTTAGTGGAAGATCGAATAAGAGGGGAATCAACTAATACAACTCAAGAGGAGGAGGTTCGCACTTTTGATAAATTATTGAATGATGCCAAACGTGAGGTGTACCCAGGTTGCACAAATTACACTTTGTTAAAATTTGTCATCGAGATACTTAATATGAAGGTAACAAACCATTGGAGTAATAAGTCAGTTGACATGATGCTAGAGTTTTTAACAAAACTTTTACCGAAGGATAATTTGGTTCCAAAGTCAACTTATGAAGCTAAAAAAATACTACGTGAATTGGGTTTGTCATACGAGCTCATTGATGCTTGTGTAAACGATTGTGTGCTCTTTTGGAAGGGGAATGCAACACCAGATAAATGTCCAAATTGTAAGGCTTCTAGATACAAGACAAATCATGGTAGAGGTAAGAAGATCTCTCGTAAGGTTCTTCGATACTTCCCGTTAACACCGAGATTGAAAAGGTTGTACATGTCGAGGAAGAGAGCCGAGGAAAAACGTCTAGATGACGGTGTATTGAGGCATCCTGCAGATAGTGATGAGTGGAAGGAATTCGATACACAACATCCTGAATTTGCCTTGGAGCCTCGAAATGTGAGGCTAGGTTTGGCTACTGATGGTTTCAACCCTTTCGGAAATATGAATAACTCATATAGTTTGTGGCCTGTCGTACTCATTCCGTACAACTTGCCACCGTGGTTGGCTATGAAGGACCCATTTTTCATGCTATCATTACTTGTTCCTGGTGAATCACAACTAGGAATTGATATTGATGTCTACATGAGACCTTTAGTGGAAGAATTGAATGAATTATGGAAAAATGGTACATTAACCTATGATGCCTCGACTGGTGAGACTTTCTGCATGCGTGCAGCTTTGCTGTGGACGATACATGATTGGCCCGCATTTGGTGACATTTCTGGATGGAGAACAAAGGGTCATTACTCTTGTTACACTTGCAATGATGAACCATATTTTGAATCTTTAACAAGTAAGACTGCGTACAGTAACCATCGATGCTACTTGCCTGATGACCACCCAGAAAGGCGAAAGAGTAGAGCATATAATGGCAAGCATGAAAAACGGAAGAGATCTTTGGTGATACCGATAGAAAAGATTGAAGAGCAATTGGGCAGCGTGACGGGTGTCACATATGGAAAACATCCAAACAACAGGAAAATACCTCGTCAGAACCCAAATTGGACAAAGGTAAGCATCTTGTATGAGCTACCGTATTGGAAGAAAAGGAGGCTTCGACACAACATTGATGTCATGCATGTGGAGAAGAACTTTAGTGAAAATGTTTTTGGAACGATGTTGGGAATTGATGGAAAGAACAAGGATACAGATAAGGCACGAATGGATTTAGAAGACATGAATATAAGGAAAGAATTGTGGCTGACAAAAAATCCCGATGGATCATATGTGAAGCCGCGAGCCAGCTTCTCATTAACCCCTAAAGAGAGAGAGGGTTTCTTTGAATTCTTGAAATCAGTCAAGTATCCAGATGGGTACGCGGCAAACATTTCGAGATCAGTAAATGCAAAAAATGGTAGATTAACAGGATTGAAAAGCCACGACTACCATGTACTTATACAACGGATTCTTCCAATTGGGATGCGTGGTTACGTAGATAAAGAGATCAGTACAACACTTTTTGAGTTAGGTAGCTTCTTCCAAGATCTATGCTCAAGGACACTCAAACGAAGTGAAATGGAGAAATTAGAGGAACGTATGCGAAGGACCAAAAATCTGGGCAGCAACACTTGGTTCCCAAGCACAACCAACCTGTAACAAACCTGCCCAACACATCCCAAAACTCAAAATACAAAGTAAAGAGGATGCAAACTAGAAAATAAACAACTACCAACATTCACGGACACATGTCCGGATCACTATA